CAGTTAAGCGAATTTTCAAGTATCTGAAAGGTAATACTAATCTTGGTCTTTGCTATAGAAAATCCAGAGAATATAAATTAGTAGGGTACTGTGACGCTGACTTTTCCGGAGGCAGAATAGAAAGAAAAATTACTTCTAGAAGCTACCAATTTTTTGGAGACAATCTAATCTCGTGGTCCAGCAAAAAACAATACACTATTGCACTATCAACTGCTGAAGTTGAATATATAGTTGCAGCTGGATACAGTACACAGATGCTTTTGATGTAGAGTCAACTTGAAGACTTTAACATATATGAGAGTAACATTTATATCCTCTGTGATAACACTTCTGCTATTTATCTTTCAAATAATCCTATTTTACATTCTAGGGCTAAGCATATAGAAATTAAACATCATTTTATTTATGGACTATATTCAAAAGGAAATTCTTTATTTAAAATTTATAGACATAGGCCATCAATGGGCTGATGTCTTAACTAAAACCCTTTCTGAAGATAGCTTTAATTTCATTCTGAAATATCTCAGTATGGAATTATGCCCATAATGATAATGTAGTTTCTGTATATTTATACCCTCAGAACTTTATGCTTTAATTTTTTTGTGAACATCTGAACAATAGTTCTTCAGAAGTGAGAAGGAAATTTGTATTAGGATCTATCCAGAAGATCTGAATATTCTCCAAAAACGTTTCATTTCTAAGATAGAAGTAATCAGTTCACAATATCAACATTTGTCAACTCTAAACTCAAGGTGACCCTCTAAGTCTGAACACGTGTTCAAAATATGTAGGGACTGAAACGGTTGAGTTGATGCATTGAGGCTCGAGTCAAATCGGTAAATGTTCCCTATCTTCACGCTATCCAACTTTTCAGGAATCATTGAATGCACGTAATCATTTTTTTAATCCTTTTCATTAAAATTAAAACTGCTATTTTTTCGTTGGATATTTATACTTCACTATTTCACAAACACAATCACACATTCACTCTCACTCACTTTTCTCTCTTCATCTGTTATTTTTTTAAAATCCCTAAAAGAGTCTGTGTGAATAAATGGCTTCCTCTCAATAAAATTCTCAAGTTTCTCAAACCATTCATGGTTCTTTCTCCTCAAATGAAGAAAGGTACATAGAACCATCAAGAACCCTTCTAACACCCATTGATTCAATGGAAGTTTTATGTGAGCTTATTGTTGATTCTGGAAGCATGAAAAAATGGGTATGATTTAACCCTTGATGTTGATTTCCAAGGATGGACGAAGTATTTTGATCGCCTCATAGGTCCAGTTTTTCCAAAACTAGTGAAGGAATTCTGGATCCATGCCACAACTTCAAATTATCGGGTAACATCCTACGTTATGGTAAAGAAGATCATCATCACTGAATATCTTATTGGGAAACTCATAGGTCACGACGTCGGCAATATTAGATACAGTGATATGACACACAAAGGTTCTGACCTAACCATTGTCTCAAAAGAAATTTTTCTTCTGGCCAACCATCCAAAAAAATCAAAGATCTGAAGGATTATCTCAAAATTTGGTCAAAAATAATTCTGGGATGCATCAATCACAGGAATCCTACCAGCTCTCTAGACTACATCAACATTGATCAGCAGTACCTTTTGTACTTCATCGCCACCAAAGCAAAAGTTCATCTTCCACATCTTATGTTCAACCATATGAAGACTAGTGTAAAAGAACAAGAAAAGAAGAAAGAACAAAGAGAGATTGGTTCCCTCTGGGAAGACTCATTTTAGATATTCTGACAGAAAACAGACTGATAGAACATTTATCTGAGACGCTACAAGCTAATGTTCTGGAAGCTTGTGCTGGTAAACCTCTAAACACCAAGAATATGAAGAAGATGAAGATTACTGAAACAATTAAGAAGGACCCAACAATCACCACCAAGGAAGTCATCACCACCCGAAGAGTGCCACTGAAGGATTTTCCTCTCTTCACTCAAGCAGACTCATCTCCAGAAATTGTTCTCAGGTATCTGGAAGCCTGCAAGAGTGATGGTACAATCCCAGATGTGAACATTCTTGATATAAGCAAACAACCTCTAGAAGTTTCTCCCATAAAATCAAGAAAAACAAAAGCAGATGGAGAAGGAACTTCTCAGAAGACCCCCAAAGCTGCCAAAAAGAAATGTAATTCATCTTTTGTTTCTATTACTGAATTAATATTTTTATCAACATCTGAAAACCCCTCGTCTCCAAAGCCCACAGAAGATACATCTCCTCAAACCCTTGATGATTTTGACCTAGATATTAACACTTCATTACCTCTAAATAATCCTCTGATTAATCCACCTCCTACCCATTTGGATCATCCTCAGCTAAAACTTGCACAAGTTTGAAACAATCGTCTGAACAATCATCGAATATAAAATCAATGAAGTCGTCATCGAACGTTTTTTATCCCACGTGAAGGGAAAGGTAAACATAGAGTAAACCTGAGAAGGGTGAAATCAAGTTCAAACGACCGAGAGATCAGGTAAAGGAGTCTGTTACGCGCGGGGAAGGTATTAGCACCCCATATGCCCGTATTCCACACTTGTTGTTCTAATCAAAGGGTGTGTTTCAAATCTAAGCTTAAGAGCTAAAAGAAAATTCAAAGAGGGAATGCATGCAAAAGAAAAGAGAAAATAATGTAGGGAGAATAAAGTTGTGCTTGCTTGGGCCCTACCCCAATGCCTATGTATCCTTTTTGAGGAATCAGAGTTACCGTAGTTCGGCTCACATGTTTTGGTTGGTTTGTGTTTTTTAGTTAAAAGACAAAAGCAATAATCAAGATGGAAAAGCATCAGATACGAAGACAAAACATCAACAACAATGGCAAGACAACGGTAATGATGGCAAAATGTTAACAATGATGGCAAAACATTAACAATGATGGCAAAACATCAACAATGATGGCAAAACATCAACAACTTGGATGATAAGACATCACACCTAACAATGATATTGAAAATCAAAGTAGGATAACAAACATACGCGATGGCGAAACATCGATACAAAGATAGCAAAATATCATGGGAAAAAATGGTAAGATGTCAACTTAACAAGTTTTAAAACAGAGCCAAAAGGCCCACAAACAATTTAGATCAGTTTGTATTTTTTACCTTGAAAAAGGACTTAAGTTCATTAGAGGTGTTTTATGATTTGCCAAGAAAAATAAAGTTTTTGTTTAAAGATGCAATATGCAAAGAAAAGAAAAAAACTAAGAGAGACTATCCTAATCTCTAGCCCTGGTGTAATCATACAAAGATGGCCCTACATCAAGGAAGAAAGGGAAATATCTACCTAAGTGAACATGCATGGATAGATATCTTAATGTCTAGCTCGAAGACTTACCCTACACGAGCAATACTAAGGGAGCATGGCATATCAAACAAGTGTTTTGGCAAAAGCACAAAATCTGGGTACATTGACTCAGAGGATGGGGGTATGAAAAGAAAATGCTTTAGCTAAGGGGAGCGGATCACTCGAAGCAAACAAGCGGGATACTGGGATGAAATAAAAAAGAAAAGCAATGCTTTAGCTAAGGGGAGAGTATCACCCGAAGCAAACAAGAGGGTAACGAAGTATCAGTAATGGCCTTTGCAAACTCTTGATAAAGTGTGGGGGTTGGTTGCGAACCCCTCTCCACATGACCAACTTGATACATAAGATATGCACGACTCTGAAGCATCGACGTACAACGTGGGCTAAGGATGACACAAACTATAATGTGCGGGGGTTGATTGCGAACCCGCCTCGCTTGCCTCCTTTCGAGGACTTATTATCTGTAATATATGCGAGCAAAAATGTAAACACACGTGCAGAATACCTACTTCAAAGGTAGGATATCAAACAAACACAAATAACATACAGGAAGCGGTGTCTGCTACAGGACTTTAAACAGTGACTTCGAGCGTACGCTCTTTATTTCCTACTTCTCATGATATCTAGAAAGTAGTAAAATTCCTACTTCTCATGATATCTAGAAAGCAGTAAAATTTTGAAATAAGATAAACAAGAGAAAATACCAAACGGATATCAATCTGTAGCAAAGTGTATCAAAACAAAGAAACCCGATGATCTTCGTGAAAGCTTCACCAATTAAGGAAAAGAGGCATAAATCAAATGCTCGGAATAAATGTTGAAGCATCATCGATGTGAAAATAAATCACAATCGAAATCTCAAGCATATCCGCATATCACACAATAAACCTGCATAAGACTCAGATCTCAATAAGCAAAGGTGTATCGCAAATCTCGAGTAATCAGATAACCTTGATTTAATTCCTAAAATCAAATAAAATCTAACAAATTTTTATGGATTTTATTACTTTTCATGTGAAGAATAAGTTCAAACAAATTGAAATGACTAACAAAAATCAATAAGAAAAAATTGAAAATAGAAAAAAGTCTCAGGGGGTGCAAGTTTATGAATAGTGATGTATCAAATTGACAATACGATTTAAAAGTCTAAACAAACAAACAACTCAACTCAATTGAAATATTAAATAACTAATTAGATTGAATTATCTTATTTAATAGAATTAATTAACAAAATAATCAATTCTACTAAATATTATTTTCCAACCTAATTAATTATTTAAAACAAATATATTTTTTGTATTTTTTATTATTCTTATTTTTTTATTTTGATAGAAAATCTAACTAAAATGAAATGATGCAAAAAAATGTAAAAAAAAGAAATAATTGGGCTTGGAAATACAGAAATTTGGGAGTGCAGGGTAGCATTTCGTTGGGCCCAGCAACAGAAGCCCAAGGTGGAACGCAACTGATCCCATGCGGTGCGCTCGAGGAGGTTTACAGTGAAGGCGCAGCTCGGAGTGGCAGATCTAAATCTAACAAGATTTGATGGTGATTAAGGCAAGATTGCACAGTGTGCTTCATGGAGAGAGGCGTACGAGATCCGTGAAATATGGTGATTACATTCTAAGAGGCTCATCTGGGACGCTCAGATCTGGAGAGTTGGATCTCTTTAGTGATGAACTGATGCAGATTTGATGATGATGTTGATGATGATAAGAAGGCGTATGATAGCTTGCGTGGGAGTACCTACGTAGAATCGGTGAGCAACCACATTGGTGGTGACAAGTGTCATCGCTGGATTAACGATCCTAGTTATCATTTGTTTAACAAAAATGCAAAAAAAAAAATCAATGTTAATCTCAAAATTGTAACGCTTCCTCTCTCTTTCTCTCTCGTTCTCTATTTTAATCAAACATAAACACATAAAACAAAAGAATATAAAGAGGATAAAGGATCTGGGATGGTGATGATGATGAATGAAGAAATAAGCACGCATGAAGCTAACGGTGGTGCAAATGAAGATCGACAGCGGCGCCACCGTGGATAGGTCCGATCTTCACTTTTTTCACATCAATCTCTTCATTTATTCTTCATGAAAACTAATATTGAGTTTCATTTTACAGATGATTAACTGTTTCACGTAGGTCATGAAAGGGGAAATGAAACCCTAAGTATTTTTAATTATGGAAATTGATGACGATGATGAAGGATCTGACCTCTGGAGTGTTCAAACGACCTCTCTGAAGCGAGATCGGAGGTTTTAATGGTGGAGAATGGAGGTGACCCTCCTTCTAAAGAGGTTTGAGATTCCTCCTTCTCTTCTCTTCACAGTGATAATCGTATTTCTCTTCTTCTTATGAGTTCGTGGATTCAAATCTTTTCCTCCTCTCCTTTCTCTGATCTAAAGGATCTACAGTTTAGGAAGATGATGATAGAATAGGGTCCATTGCTTGAAATCTTGATGCGGTTGTGTTAGCTTGATAGCTTCTTTTCTGTGATGTTCTATGATTTGGTCTAGAATTTTTTTGTGAAAATGATGAGAACGAATCCTCAAGTTTGAGAGAGCAGAGAGAATTTTTTATGGATATTTTTTTCTATGATTTTTCCAATGATTCGAGAATGATCTCAACAAAAGTCAGTTTTCTATTTATACTTGTTGTGACAGTTTGTTAGAGAATATATAATCTCAACCCTTGATTCCAGAAGTTAGTTACATATTAAAAGAAAGAGATCTGAGTTTGTTATTTGGTTAGGATGAGCTAGCAATGAGTTGTTAGTTGAATCAGTTTGCAGTTAGTTTCAATTGAGAGTTATCTGATTTTCTGTTTTCACGGTTTTTTAATATACTAGTATGCTTCTATTTTTTGGTAACAGGCCTTGAACAAATTTTTGTTTGGGTTTTTTTCATCTGATATCTATTATTATTTTCTGATTTCTGGACTTTGATGTTGTTTTCCATTTTACTGTATGTGCACCTTGATGTTGTTTGGTTGAGCAGTGATATTTTTGTGTAATCATGTGTTACTATAGTTTGTAATTCTTTTATTGTGAACCAAGTGAAACTCTTTTTAGTGTTTTTCATTTGAGATTTGCAGTAGGAGAATTGGGCATGTGATTAAATATGATTTTGTATGAGGCTTTTGTTATTTTTGCAAACATGAGTGAATTCTGATTTTGCCAGACTGTGATGATTTGTTGGGCTGGAAATGCGACTTCCGTTTGTATTTTTGAACCTCTTTTTGTGAACCAAAATGGGATTTTGTGATTTTCAATAAAGGAGATAGGCCTATGACTTGAATTGTAATTCTGAATTTGTTGTGAAACAACTTGTATGAGGCCTTGGTTATTGTTAGGTTGCACAATGATTGAATTAATCCCTAGAATTATGATTCCTTCACAAACCCTCATGATGAATTTAGAAAACCTTTTTGAAAATTCTTATTTGTGTTTAATTCTTTTGATTGCTTTGATTGTTTGCTAACAACTTTCTTTTCTTTGTTTCATGACGAAAATAATGGTGAGGATGGCTAGGAGAAACCTTAGCATGACTTAGCATAAAATAGAGTAAGGAGAGAAGCTTGAAGAAGAAGAAGAAGTCTTGGAAGAATCAAACTCAAGATCTTGGAAATATTTAGACTTAGGAAAATTTTGAATTGTTGTAATTATTTTAATTCTTCAATGGCAACCTTGATGTAACTTTGGATTTGATTGTGTTGAAAATAATTTTTGTAAACAAACTTTAAAACATTGAAATTTTCTTTGTAAGCCTTGTATGGAAACATGTAAAATTCAATGAATGTGGCACTTGAATAACTTGAAGAATACTTTGTGAAACTTGTAGATTTGATATAGTTGTATTCAAGTTTAGAACAACTTTGAATGATGAAAGGGATGACCTAAACTGTAACATGAAATGTTCTTTGATTAACGGTACATGAGAGATCTTGAAATCTCTTTGGTTAAGGTATTTGAAAATTGTAGAAATTAAACCAATCTTGTCCATAATGCAATAGAATTCCTTGATTCAAAATAACAAGCTTGTAATCTCTATTCACTTCTAATCTTGGCAAGAAAGGTGCAAATCATCCTATGTAGTCAAAAGGACAAGCTTTCCCTCCAATAGTCTCTTTAAGATTCAAACTCTAAAAATCCCAAAATGTACTCAAAAAAATCCAAATAATCTTCACTAGGCTTGAATAATATACTTCAATATCCATCCTCAAAATGAATAGTACAACAAGTAGCCCAAAAGAGATCACTTAATCTTAAATATAGATAAAATCTTTTCTAATGAAAATCCATCTGGAAACTTCTCACATTGAGTTAAATAAAGATATCTTGTCTTTGAAGAAACCTCGAAAAATATAAAAATGGAATCAAAGAAGAGAAAGTCTAACAAACCTCAGTTAGTGATTGAGCGTGCACTGAGATAAAACTCAGGATGATAATGCTTCCGATTTTGTCAAGAAAGACGTCACAGATTCATTAATCAACAAACCTAACATAAGAGCTAATAGATGGGAGAAAATATGATTTACTGCCAAACCCTTGCCATTTTTAATTCTCTGATAAAACAAAGAACCAAATTGAGACGTCACGAAGCCTGAGAAACCTTAGTAGCTTGAACCAATAGAAGAATAATGATATGAGATCTATCTTGGGTTGATCGCCAATACAACCAAATTCCAAAGCTTGATGAAAACCAGGAAGATAAAAATACCTTGATCCCGTCACAATGCATGAATATGTATGATGAAACACAAGCCATGAAAATTCTGAAATCAAGAGGGTAAATTTTGGTGTGCAATATCTGCCCCTATTCAATAATCTTAAGCTTGATAAGTGAGAAAAGCGACCGCTTTTGAACGTTTAGAGTTGAAGATGATTGAATACGAAAGAACCTGGAAATTTACACTCTTGAAAAAAAAGCAAAACCCCCCAAAGACAAAGAACGCCAGCAGGAGCGAGACTTAGAAGATACCAAATGAAATTGGATTTAGCAAGCAGAGGGTCTAATGAAAATTGGCCCTCCAAAGAAATGCGTCAGAATGAAACTGTAACGGACACTTTAACAAAGTTGAGACAAGACTCAAACTTAGAAGAGTAGATGAAACTAAACTTCAGAATAATGTGTCAAGATAAAACCAAACCAAAAAAGTGTTGAGATAAGACTCAAACTACATAGAATAAGCAAAGCTAAACTCTGGAAAAGTACACGGGGCGAAGTGGCTAGAGCGTGTGATTCTAGGAGCACCTGCTAGTCTCTAAAAGAGACCGATCAACCAAGGATATAGCAAACGAAAGCTGAAGTACAATAATCAGACACTGTTAAAGGCTCAGTAAATAAAAACTGATAAATATCCAAGGAATGACATTAAATGAGACAAAACTCGACTCGACAATACTAGAAGATCTAAACCTTCTAGAAATGAGTAACAGGACAAAACAAACTAGATTTCACGCACGGGTAATGAGGAAAAACTCGACCCATAGCAAAGTGATGAGAGTACATGTTTCTCATAGCACCTGCTGGTCTCTAACCACGGGTAAACAATAAATGAAAACTGACTAAAACCCGAATAGGTATAAAAGAGACATCTCAAGTCAATGGACACGGCAAACGAAAGTCGTAATACAGTAAACAAACATTGTCAAAGGTTCAATAATAAAAAACTGATAGACGTCCAAAGAATGAGATAGGGGTTTTGACCAAGGACATGGTAAACGAACACTGATAGAAGAGTCTAGGGAAAGAAATAAAATGAGGCGGCACTCAACCCATAATAACTAGTTAGGCAAGACAAAATAGATGAGTACCATGGAAAAACAAATTGGATTTCATGCACAGGCGACGAGATCAAGACTCAACCCAAAGCAAAGTGATAAGACCGCACGTTTCTCAGAGCACTTGCTTGTCTTGGACCATGGATAAACAGTAAACGAAAACTGATAGAAGAATCCAAGGAACGAAGGAGACTGATTTCAACCAAGGACACAATTAATAGAATCGTTTATCTTGTACTTTTGTAACTTTCTGGTATTGAACTCTGTTGGGATTTCTCCCGTTTCCGTTATTATATGAGCAATGTTGGATATTTTCTTTATATGGTCATTCTTATTATCATGTTGTTTAATTATTACTGACATGGATAAGCTATGACAATCCAGAATGGAAAATCATTTCATACATGATACATATCATGCATTTCATGAATTGCAGGTTTTCTGGTCGGAATTCTTATCTGATGGTTTTGCCTCTTATTATCAGAATCTACAAGACAACTTCCTTACATCCTTATCTCACTCAATCTAACAAGCTGAGGATTATGGAGCATATTAAGCACAACCAGATTGCACTCCACAAAGACATGGACACCATGGGTGATCAAGTGAATCAGCTCATAGAAACTCTTCATGCCGTCATCCAGGGGAAAAAAGAGCTCAAACTGAGTGTTACTAAACTGGTTGATAGTGCTTCTACATCCGAGAATGGTGGACCCATAAATGACAATGAAGGAATCCCTAAGGAAAACCCTCGGATGATTTTGGATGATCACCATGATGTCATCGATCTCGATGGCCCTCCAAAGGATTCTACAACTGATTTGTCTAAAACTGCCAAAATGTACGAGGCTTTGGAAGAACGTTTAAAGGCTATGGAGACTTCCAAGAGGCTAGGATTCAAAGTTGCTACTATAGGTTTGGTTTTGGGGGTCGTGATTCCACCAAAGTTCAAAGTACTGGAATTCGACAAGTATAAGGGAGTTACATGTCCAAAAACTCACCTTCGATCATACTACAGAAAGATGGCTGCATATTCTAGAAATGAGTCGTTGCTCATGCATTTCTTTCAAGACAGTCTGGGTGAAGCTCCATTGGAGTGGTACATGCAGTTAGAACAAACTCATGTTAGTACTTGGGGCGAGCTTATTGATGCTTTCCTAAAAAAATAATGATTACAACACTGACATGGCGCCTATCCGTGCACAGTTGCAGAGTATGTATCAGAAGGCTAATGAGTCTTTCGAGGAGTATGCCCAAAGGTGGTGCAGTTTGGCCGCGAGGGTTCAGCCTCCCCTCCTGGACCGTGAACTGGTACATTTGTTTATGAATACTCTCTGAGGTCCGTATTTGCAACACATGCTTGGAAGCACTTCTAGTTCCTTTTCGATATAGTTATCATTGGGGAGCGGGTTGAAATGTGTATTACGGCAGGGACTATTGCAGGTGTGTCTAGCACAAGTGGTAATAATGGCTCAAGGGGTGGAAAGAAACCATATTCTAGCGGTTTTGTCAAAAAGAAGGAGGGAGAGGTGAGAAATTACTCTGTTGATAAGGGGAAAGATGTTATACAAATTCCATATTATCAAACTCCTATTGTTGCTACATAACAACAGCACGTACCATCGTGAAACTATCAATATAATCAGAGGCCTCAAGAATAAAGGGGTCAACAAAGTCTGCAAAGGTATCCTAAGAGAAAGTTGGATCTGATTTTGATATTGTATGCCCAATTGATTCCACAATTGCAAGCTGGCCAATTGGTACAGCTCCGAGAGTTAGGTCCTTCACCAGCTGAATTTCCAAGGGGTTATGATTTAATGCACGTTGTGAGTTTCATTCGGGTGCTCCAGGACATTCGATTGAAAACTACAGAGCTTTTAAGTATAAGGTGTGTTGTACCCCAAAATTTTCCCTCACATATTTCACAATACATGGCAAGTGAGGTCCCCAAATTACTCAAGGAAGTTCAAAAGTTGACCAGACAAACTCTCTCCTAAGGTAGTCTACCTCAAATTAGGGTTTCATTTTTCATCAAGATGCTTGAGTCCAAAGGATACCAAATTCTCACCATTGTCCTAATATGTTCCCAATATCATCCATGTCAAGTTTCAAGCCTTGCAGAAGAAGTTTGCTCAGTCAATTGCTCAAAGGCCTGAAAATCGATTGTGTTAGGTCAAAAGTCAATTGTGGCCCACATACAGTCAAACTTCAAAAAATTTGGTCAACATCCTCATTTTGAAGTATTATCCATAATTTGATCAAGGGTTGATCATGATTCCTCAAGGATTTCTCACAATTCATCAAAACCCAAAAGTTGCTAAATTAGGGTTTTGTAGGAAAAGTCAACTCAACTTTGACCAAGCATAACTTTCTCAAACTTTATCATAAATGGCCCATACAAATCTCATTTTGAAGAGGATGAAATTCCCTACAATTCATCTTCATCTCCCAAGTTCAAAATATGCACTCACAAAAAGATATGAATTTTGACATTATAGGTCATTTTGAAAAGTCAACAAAAACACCTTTTGGATCAAAGCTTCATACATGAAAATGGAAGAATCAATTGAGATGAGACCAAAAGGGTTGTTTAGAGGACATTCTAATATTTCTAAAAAGTCCAA